CAGAATGCTGGTAACAAACTCGAGTTTTTGGATTCGATCGAAATTGGGTTGTTTTGGTGGATGAGTTCCCGATTTATTTACTCGTTTTTTTTCTGCAGGTATTCGTACCTCCTCATCCTTTGATCAAGCACTGGGTCTCAGTGCTTAGAAACGAGGAAACACCATGCCCCATCTTCAGTAAGTAATGCTATGGCGTTTTGAATCCACTTTTCGTAATTTTACTTTTTTGTTTAGATTCTGATTCTGCATGTCCGTTTCTTGAATGTGACATGCAATTTGATAAGCCTTAGTTGAGTCAAACTCAAATTTCTTATCTTTTTCCGTTTTTTGTTTTCGATTTTCATAATTCTTCTTTTTTGGGTTTTGCATGTCTATTTCTTTTCTGGTTTTGCATGTCTATTTCTTTTCTGGTTTTGCATGTCTATTTCATTTCTTTGGGTGTTTGAATGTGGATTTCCGATTTTCGTAAATTTCTTTTTGGGTAATTTTTGTTTAACTTCTGCTTCTGCATGTCTGTTTCTTGAATGTGACATGCAATCGGATGAACATTTTTCATCAGCTTTACTTTGGTTAAATTCGATTTTGTTTTCTTTTTTCCTTTTTGGTGTTTGAATTAGATTTAAGCTGTCAAGAAGTTGCTTAAATTGTGATTGGGTTTTCCAATTTTCATAATTTTTCTTTTTGGGATTTAGTTTTTGTTTAGATTCTGGCTCTGCATGTCTGTTTCTTGAACGCTACATGCAATTGGATGAACCTTTAGTTGGCTCGAATCTTATTTTCTTTTCTTTTTAACCTTCGAGTGTTTGATCTTGACTCAAGGTGTTAACAAGTTGCTTAGATTGTGATTCTGCATTTGGGTTTTCATTTTTTGTAATTTCTTTTGTTTGCTTTTTAATTTTTGCTCAGATTCTGGCTCTGCAGGTCTGATTCTTGCATGTGACATGCTATTGGATGAACATTTGTTATCAATTTTGGTTGGGTCGAATTCAGTTTTCCTTTTTTTATGTTTTGAATTTAATTCAAGCTCTCAAGAAGTTGCTTATTGGTTTTCAATTTTCGTAAATTTTGTTTTCGGGTTTTTAATTTATGCTCAGATTCTGGTCATGCATGTCTGTTTCTTGAATGCGACATGCTATTAGATGAACATTTGCTATCAGATTTAGAATTGTCAAATTCAGTTTTTTTTTTGGGTGTTTGAATTCTATTCAAGTTGTCAAGAAGTTGCTTAGATTGTGATTCTGCTTTGGATTTTCAATTTCGTTTTTTTTTGGGGTTTTAGTTTTTGTTTAGATTCTGGTTCTGCATGTTGTTTCTTGAATGTGACATGCAATTAAATGAACATTTTTTTTATCAGTTTTAGTTTGATCAAATTCAATTTCTTTTTTTCCCTTTGCGTATCTGAAACTAAATTTCATTTAAGTTGTCAAGAAGTTGCTTATATTGTGATTCTGCATTGTGGTTTTCCAATTTTCATAAACTTTATTGTTGCGTTGCGTTTATAGTTTTTATTTTGATTTTGGTTCTGCATGTCTTCTTTCTTGAATGTTCTTCTCATCAGCTTTAGTTGTGTCAAATTTCACTTCCTTTCTTTTTTGTTTTTCGGGTTTTGAATTTAATTCAAGTTGTCAAGAAGTTTCTTTGATTGGAATTCTACATATGTGTTTTTAAAATGTGCCATGCAATTAAATATTGTTAGCATATTTAATCAAATAAAATCCAAAAATAGTTTTAATATAACTTCAATAAAGATGCTCTGAATCAAGATTCATTTTCTGCAAAGAGTGATGGTGCTCTATGTGCAAATTTGGTCCATATTTCTAGGATACACCATTTGCAAATTTTTCATGTAACAAAAACATTAAAATTATATTTCATTCACTCATGTTTTTGTTAAATTGCATGTTATACTTTTGTTTATAATGACTTCATGTTCAGAGAATGCCATGGCTGAGCTGGGAAGGCTTCTTATGTATGAAGCATCAAGGGATTGGCTGGTATACTTTATTTGGTCACTTTTTTCTTTGTTGCTTTTTGCAAGAAATAACAATATGCTTTTATCGATTTATTAACTATAGCATCTTACTTTTACTTCTTCCTATTACAACATTTTGCATTTTATAATAAATGAAATTAAGATGTTATAATACACTAATATATCAAAGTACATTGCAAATTCTTGCTTTAATCATTAATGTAGTAAGTTTATTTATTGCAGCCTACAATTTCAGGGGAGATTCAGTCCCCACTTGGGCCTGCTACAGTTGAATTTATTGATCCAAGAGAACCTGTAGCGGTTAGTATATCAATAATCAATGCCCTTACATTATGCTTTATTATAAACACTTCTGTTATGTGTGTAAATTTACACAAATGCCCTTGTGTTTGCAGGTTGTTCCTATTCTGAGAGCTGGGCTTGCTCTTGCAGAACATGCAGCATCCATCTTACCAGCAACCAAGACATACCACCTAGGTAACTAATTAACTATCAAATTAAATTTACTTTTTTAACCTTGATGGACTTAATGAGGACATGACTTAATCTGGTAAAAGCTATATATGGGTGTTGATTTAATGCAGAAAGAGCAACTTAATACAGAAAATAGGGATTAGCCCTTCGTCAATGATTTTTTCAATAAGTGATGTTTTTTTTTTTTTTTTTTTTTTTTTACCTGAGACTAATGCTTGTTTTCTTATTATCTGTTTTTATTTTTTTAATTAAGGTATTAGCAGAAATGAGGAGACACTTGAAGCATCCGTGTATTTGAACAAGTAAGGGGTCCTAACTCAGAAGTTATTTACTGCATATATCTCATGTTTACAAGCTACTCTATGCAGTATAATTTATAAAAAACTAAAAATAAAAAAATTAATACTATTGCATCATTTGTTTATTTTGTGAAAATTTTCATGTTTCACCCTTCTTCATGTTCCTTATGCAGGTTACCTGACAAATTTCGTGCAGGAACTCGAGTGTTTATTGTAGATCCTATGCTAGCAACAGGTAAATCACGTTACTAACCAAATGTCTTAAATACCCTTTAATAATGAAAAAATTACAAAATTTGCTCTTTTTAAATTAATTTCATTTTGCATCTAAATAATCTTCAGGTGGCACGATTATGGCAGCCATTGATCTGATTAAGGATCGTGGAGTTGCCAACCAGCATATCAAAGTGGTAAAATATTTAGTATTGTAGAAAATCAATTATTAAATAATTTCCTCCTTCCAAAATAAAAACCAATAATCAGTTTATTAATTCCAAGATTCCTTAAATTTATCTAAATATTTAGGTATCTGCCGTGACTTGCCCTCCAGCCCTCCAAAAGCTGAGTGAGAAGTATCCTGGGTACAACATTTACTAAATCTCTTGACACTGGATGAAGGGTATATCTGTCTTTTGTGATTTAACTCTTCTATTGTAATTCCTCAGGCTTCATGTATATGCTGGAATCATCGATGCAACACTTACTGACAAAGGGTAAGTTAGTAAATTCAAGAAAATATATAATCTTGTGTTATCAAGTTATCTAAAGATTGTTTGAATGGTGAATTTAAGGATGATTATCCCGGGACTTGGAGATGCAGGAGACCGAAGTTATGGTACATAAATGAAACCGAATGAGGGCGTTTATATGGTACAATGTAACTTTTTTTAAGTTGTGTTGGGTAGTTTTTTAGTTATAAATTTTGCTGAATAAGTTAACACATTCGTGTCTTTCAGTCTGATTGTTGTTGTTATTATTGTGACAATGTGACTTATTTATGCTGAGGTTTCTTTCAGTACCTTTTGCTTGATTTGCTTTACCATAGCATGTATGTATTTATCTTTCTCATTTAGAATTGCAACCAAGTGAACAAACCTTATATTTTTTTAACCTTTCATTTACATTTTTTTTTTAAAACATGGTAATAGTTGGTCTCAAACCCACACATAGTATTAATAATATTTGTTTTGACGGAGAACATTTTGTTTACTGTTAGTCTTAAACCTTTAGATTTCGACATTGAACTTTTTGAACTTTTTGTTTGGACGTTTCTAGAATACTTAAAAATTAGTATGAAGTTACTTATTTTTGTATAATAGTATTTATAAAACTATGTATTTATACAAAATAAAACTTCTCTTCTTATTTATACAAAAATTACACATTTATTCAAAGTTTAAATTTTATATGTATTTATATGAGTAACTAGTTATTTACACCAAAGTTCCCCTGGTTCATTTCCCATTTTGGCCTTCTTATTTATTTCCTCTTCTCTAAAATCTCACATCCCATGAAAAGCTAACATGGGGTTTAATGTTAAAAATTAAAATAATTGTACATTTTTCCAAGATGTAGCGGGTCTGTGCTAATTAGCTAAAGCTAACAGAAAGCAAGAAGGAAATTACAAGTGAGAAGACATAATTGGGTTTTTTCAACAACTCAACGCGACTACTCTTAAGTTTAGACTTGCTACTCATAAGCCAATTAAAAATAAAATGTAATCATGTCTTGGAGAATATCCTTGATCTTAAGTTGTGTTAGTTATTAAGGGTAGAAATTTTGTGCAAAAATTAGGACCAAACATGAATATGAAATAAAACATAAGGGCTTTCTTAAGAAGCTATTAGCTTTTATATTTTATGTCATTTTACACATTCAAAAGCTTATGCATATTTTTTGTCAAACATTTCTATACAAATAAAAACTCCAATTTAGGTGATGAAGATTAACAGAGGGTTGAAGATGAGATTAAGGCTATGTTTGTTACATGGGCCAAAAGACTAGACAAGCCTTGTACTTATATTTTTGGATGATGAAGATTAACAGATGGCATTCAAGTCTTTTGTTAATTCTTTCCTTTTTGAGTGAAAAATTAAAATTTGTCTCATTGAGACTTGTCCAAGTCCAAAACACATCAAACACAATTCAATATGTTATGGCATGTCCTACGTATCAATATCATATGAGATATAACGGTTCAATAAAGATCTCACATTGTATGAAACAATACCAAAAAAAAAAAAAAAAGTTCAAAATTTGATCCATTCACAGGTTTCTGAACAAAATTGAATTACCCTTCCACATAAGCTTTCCCTCTTCTACATTTTTGACTTTTTCCCAATTTTATACCCACTCAGGGGATATTAATAACCAAATATATTATTTTATGTCATGTTATCCAAGACTTCGACCTTCATGCAGCTTTCTACAAGGATTATTCCCTCAAAAATACCACCACATGTTTCTTCGTAACCCTAAAAAGGGATAATATTAATAAAATCATATATATTATTATAAAACATAATGCATTTTTTAAGGTAATACGCACAATCACATGAATAGAGGAGGATTAAAGTTCACTGTAGTTGCGCCAAACTGCACGAAATTCCTCACGGAATGTATTGAGACGAGCTTTCAGGTTAGGTGTTCTAAAGCTTGCATGCACTATAGTAGCTGAACAACAGATGAAGTCAGCAAACAATACTTGATATTGTTACACAAAGTTTATAGAGTAAATTACACTTGCTTTTACCCCTCATCAAAATTATTAACCCACAAAACACAAAAAGACTCCTTTTTAGACTATATCTAAAAAATCTATATAGCGTAGGGACCAAAATTGTAATTTTATCAAGTCCAATTCATGGGATTTGTTTAGATTTTGTTGTGTATTTGGTATTTGAGTTCTGATTTTGATTAAACTTCGACATTGATTTTTGGGGTTTTGGTGGTTTTAGGGTTTGAAGGTGAAGAAAATGGAGAAGACAAGTGTAAAATTGTCAATTTCATAAATTTAACAGTTAGGTTGTTAATAGGGGTGGTCAAAAATATCCGCATCCGAACATCCGATCCGAAAAATCCGAAAATCCGATCCGAAAATATTCGAAAAATCGGATATCCGAAAATTCGGATACCCGAAATTCGGATATCCGGTTTTTCGGATTCGGATACGGATATTAAAAAGTGAAAATTTCGGATATCCGAAATCCGAAATATATAATATAAAAAATTATTAAAAATAGTTTTAATGCATTGGGATTTTTCATTTGAAATTCAAAAAGACAAATTATTAACATTTTTACTTGGTACGCAAAGTGAGGATGGTATAAATGTTATCTTTTTTATGTTGATTTTAGTAATTTGAGTTTGATTTCTCAAGATCTTGAGGTATCATGAGGTAACTTGCATTTAACCGGACCAAATGAAGTCTTATTATACCTAACAAATGCATGGAAACGTTCTTGTTCTTGGAGGGTTTATTTTATTTATTTAAAACTAATGAAATTCGGATATTCGGTTTAATATCCGAATCCGTATCCGAAATTCGGATATCAAAAATCAATTATCCGAATTTTCGGATATCCGAAATTCGGATATCTGAATTTTCGGATATCCGGTTTTGAACACCCCTAGTTGTTAACTCAGACTAAGGTTTTATTTAATTCATGGGATTTGTTTTGATTTTGTTATGTTTTTGTTTATGAGTGATTGAGTTATGATCTTGATTTAACTTTAAGATTCAATTTTAGCTGGGCTGTTAACTTAGACGACCCACGGACTAAAGGCGTATGAAACAGGAAAATAGGGACGAAAGATGCAAAAAGATTTATTTTTGGACCACACCCAAAAAAAAACTAACATAACACAGGGACCCAAAGTATAATTTACTCAAAGTTATACCAGTCATGAAATAAGAAGGTTGTAAGATATACCAAGAAGGCCGGTGGTCAACGCCCATAACAAAGTCAAGAGTCCGCAAGAAACAAACCAAAGAATGAAACTCACTGTGAAAGGACAAAATGGTCAAAATACTAAATTAGCATTTAAAAAACAGAAAATTTTCACCATTAAAGAGAATTAGCAATATCCATACCAGCAGAAAATGCCAGAACAAATGTCCAACGAGGCTGTCCACATATATATATTGTCCTCTTAGATGAAGGGCGCCCACGAAGAACAGGCCTGGAAATTGCAAATCACCATTAAAGAAGATAAGCAGTATATGTTTAATGAGATATTTAAATGGAAAGAGGCTCACGTTAGTGGATGTCTCATTTTTGCAGCTAAATGTGGAGAGAATTGCCTTATAGTTCTTGTTACTTTTTCACTGAATGTGCTTGCAAAGCTGTAAGCCAGTGCAGTATCAAATCAGATGATCTTGATCAAGTTAAGAATGAACATGAATATCAGTATATATAGTAACTTAGGTGAAGATTGGAGCAATGTATGTATGGATGTACCTATCATTTAAGAAAGCCATAGTTAGAGCGGTTGACATAGCTGCAACTATAGCAAGTGGTCTCCTAAGAAATCCCAATCCTACACATGAAAAATTCATAATCATGGCATCTGAAAGAAATTTCAAATTTAGATCATGCCATTTGAGTGTCTTTTATTCAATCGGCTTACCAAGAATGAACAGAATCATGAGAAAGTAATTTGTCCGATAGCTGCAAAAAACACAAGTTCTTGTAAGTTATGTAACCGATTACCCCACTTCAAATTTCTACATCTATTTTCAACAGAAGATATGGAGCTCAACGATGTAAATTACGACAGTACTATTCAGATTAAGTACGGAAAAAGTTGAAACGATATTTAGGGTTTACAGCTGTTCATTCCCCATTCTGATCTCCATAATGATCACCATTCAAACCTATAACTAATTAGATAACTACTCGAAATAATCAAACAAAACGAATGTAAAATGTTAGTAGAGATGAAAATCAGAACATACTAGTAAAGATTACACTTCAGGCGACTGTTCCATTTGTTAGAAGAACGAGGGACTGTGAATTTGGAGACGAATTCATTGAAAGGACGAGGAGGCGACGACCAATCCACTTCTTTAAGTGCTTCGATCAGGTCTTCTGTTGTTACCGTTCCCCAATCCATTTCTTTGATTCTTGTTTTTTGATCGATGAGTCATGAAACCCCCAAAACGAAATCTGATCTCGAATTTCTAGAAAATGCAAAGAATGAATTCGTGAAATGTGAATTTAGATGTTGTGAGCCCCGGAGCCCATCAATCAACAAATCCGATTGGAAATGGTGTCGTATTCATCAGAAGAACTTTTGAGAGCGGGTTTAAAAATTGAGCATGTTACGAAAAAAAAATATATATTTTTTGAATTTTTTTTAATATTTTATAGGGTAAATTACATAAAGGCCCCTATGGTTTGGCGTTATCTACACGTTTGGTTTCTAACTTTATTTTTACTCGGAAGATCCTCCAATTTGGTTTTGTTACGAGTTTGATCCCTAGTCAATGTAGAATGACTCACTGTCTTTTACCTTTTTATATTATTAATTAGATAAAAATATTAATAAACTTTATTATAAATGTATTAGTAATTAAATAAATAGGTCCATTTTAATAGAAAAACCCAAACTACCCTCACCCCTCTTCCCCCCCCCCCCCCTTGTGTTCACCGATCGGGAAACCACGTCTTGCCACCACCAACAAAAGCTCTGACCACCACCTCCATAACTAACCTCTAGAAATTCACTCAGTAAATCAAAAACTTATATAAAACGCACATGCACGTTGGCACAAAGCGCGCAACATCACCAATCTTCAAATATCTGTGAGAAACATCGTCTTCTCCACAAACCACCATCCACTTGTAAATTTGAAACCCAAACCACGATACCCAAAAAAATAAGAGTATATGACAGGAGGGGTATGAAAGGAGATTTGAGAGAAGGACATGTGAGGGTGGAAACAAGAACGAGTTCAGTTTGTCAGGATAGATCTAGTTCGGCGAAATGAGATTCAAGAACTAGTAGTGGGAAAGAAGGTAGTCGTTGGTGAAACCACTCTTTCACGTCGTCGTGGTTCTCGACGTTACCACTCCTTCATGAAAATGTTGTCGGCAATAATAGTAAGGGATCAAAGACATCGCCATCGTCGTCGCTCCAGATGGTGGTGGTTCAACTTTAGGGGCCCAAAGGTAGTGGGTGGATACCTTATCGTCGCCATCGTTCAATATCGGTGACACTCCAATGTCAATAAAGCAGTCAATTACAGTCTCCATTGGCGGTGGGTGGTGGTCCATATTTAGGGTTCTTGAATTGCTTTAATCTAAAGTAAGGGAGAAAGATATAGTGGGTGGGTAGATGGCTTGGGGGATGTGTGTTAAAATGTTTCGGACGTCTTAAGCAAATAAAATTTCACTGTTTGGTTGCACTATTGGGTAGCACATGGAAGCAGGGTTGAATCCCGGGGACACAGCCTAAAAGTCAATGCCTCTTTGCGTAAGGCACATACTAGTCATAAACATAAAATGTGAAATGGGGATTTTTTATTATTAACTAAAACTAATATAGCAGTGAAACAAACTTAAACAAAATTCAGTAATAAGAAGTGAATTCAGTTCTTTGACGACTTTCCTAATCATGCAATCAACACATACCTGATTATTCAAAATGTATTCTATATAAGCTGGTACTGAGAACAGCTAACAAGCTCTATGTTATTCTCTTTTACCTAATTAATTAACCAAAACAAACTCTTCAGTTAATCCTAACTTTTTTACTAATTCAATTACACAAGCTCTTAATTAAAATCAGAAAAGTAACATTAATATATGTGTAAATTCCTAGCAATATTCAATACTTCTCACAAGCTCGGAAGCGTAAAAATATGAAATTTTAGTTTATATCATAATTAAATCCCAACATGGAACCAATCTGATACTTGTTGCTTATTACCAGTTGATTAGAACAATTACATATTCCATTAACTGATTAAGTAGATTGATTTAATCCTATTTTAGGCGATCAGGCTAAAAAGAACCGGAACCAAACATTCATTAAAATCAAAAGTGAAATAACTAGATAGAATCACAAATCAAAAACTAGGCCTAATGATTGATCACATAAAAAGTATTGATCTATGTAGAACTGAAATCTTGGGTTTAGCCAGACATGGCTAAAATCCGATCAAAACTAATGAAAATAGACATTAAACTACTAATTCTTACTAAACTGAATGATTGAGATGATCCACAGCCTCCAGATCTTCAGAAAGTGATGAAAAAGTGTAGAAAATCGCCTTCAGAAGTCGTTTCATCGTCTGGGAATGTCTAGGGCTTAAACTGATCAAAGATGTCGAATTTATATCCAAGCCAACAACTTCCGGAGCAAGAAAAAGAAAAGCACAATCACATTTTGGGCAAAAATGTGATCACATTTTAGGAAAAAATGCGATCGCATTTTTGGTCAAAATTCCCATAAACCCCGTTTAATGAAGTACGTTGATATTTTTGAACTTTTTAAGACATCGAAGGAGAAATGCGATCACATTGTTTTGCTAAATTCGTCAGACTAATTTTTGGTCTAGCAAATCCTTGAAGCACAAATACGATTGCATTTTGGTGAGAAGCACGCTCACATTTTTCATAAAACGCACGTTTCGGACGTGAGCTCTTCAATTTTAGCAAATCCAACCCAACTTCTAGCTTCCTCGGGTGTTTTTAGCTCCACTAAGCTCCAAATATGCATCCAAAGCTGCTTCCAATGTACCGCTCCACTCGAAATATCTAAAAACGACTTAAAAACATGTGCAATACGGGAATTCTGATGATCAACATGACTTGAACATTATTTAACGAACGTATATGAAATAACATAAAATATGATGCAAAAAGTCCCACCGAGATTCGAAGCTTTCAAGAATTAGATGGATATTACAGAAGGTTTATCCAAGGCTTTTCTTCGATAACTGCTCCATTAACAGCTTTGCCCTAGGAAAACCTAAGAAGAGATTTAGAAAATTCGAGTTTCGAGTTTCGGGCTGTGCACCGCTAAGCCAAATCTTAGAAAATTCATAACTTCCTCATACGAAGTCAGATTTGGGCGTTCTTTTTTTTTTTGT